CAATACAACTATAGCCACCCTGATTTGTTTCCTTTACCATGCGCTCATACCTAGAACAATAGCTAAAAAACATATTATGCTCATACTTTAATAAATTTATAAAATAAATATAAAAGTTAACAACCACCTATAAAAATTAACAACTACTTTTTAATGTTAAAACCCAACAATTATACTTAACAATCATCTATTAAAGTTAACAGTTAATAGTGGAACTTAACCGGCATATGGCAAAATTCACATGTTAATAGTTAGATAACACATATGGTGAGCAGAAAAAAAAAATTGTAAAACTTAAGCTTAAAATTTTACCATCGTAGTTGATCATATGACTCATAAACATCCCCATACAGCTGCTCTTATACTCTTTCTTTACCCGCCATATCTTATTGTAATCAATCTTAAGTCCATACTTTGTGAGGAACTCCTTTTGCACGTTAACATAATGGATTTCTAGACACACCTTAAATAGTGGTTGTAATTGTGTTGTAATAAATTTGTGGGATGTCCTTGAATTACCTGCATTTTTACCATGCTACCTAAAAGTGTGTTCACTTACAAACTTTCTGATCGAAAGTCTCATTTCATTTTTAATAGGATAAGCAAAAAACTTCCAAGGCCACCTATAAGTTTCCTTATATTGGCAAAAAACTTGGATACATTTTTGTTCATTCTTTGCAAATTCAAAATTAAACTTTTAGGCTTAGAATAGTATGATAAAGCTAATTTTAATTCATTGGTGCTTCAAAATTATTGTCCTAATTCAGTTAATAGAGTGTGCCACCATGTAGGAGTCATTACAATATTGTTAATAATGTCACCGGATCACATTACATTCTCACCACATGGATTATCTGTAGGAATCCTCTCTGAATTATGACCTGCGGTGGGAGTACTATTATTACATTGTGACTTCAATATAGTGATAATGCTACACATATATAATAATTTACGTTAAAATAGCAAAAATGAATAATAGATAACATCTGATTATTAAATTTAATACCTATGTCATAAGCTTAATAATCATGGTATATGGTTAATATTTATCTATCATATATAACATTTAACATGAAATGTTACTCTATACTAATCACTTATCCACACTTTAATCACAAAAAATATCACAACTTTCTCGGAAGTTTAACGAAATTTTACATTTAAGGAGGTTTCTTCTGGGTGTTTTGAGAATTAGAAACATCTATACCTACAAGATTTTACAAATGAAACTCCACACACCTAATATTATGGTTATGCTCCACCATACACTTTAAATCATCTTCATTCTTAATCGCAAAACTGAGCTTAAGGTTAATTCCTTTCAGATTTATATATCATTGATAAAGCATCATATAAAAATTTCAACCTCTCCGTCACATACAATTTGAAATCAAAAAAGGATGTTGAAGATGTTATCATTGAGAATACCACTTTCTCATCTAAGGACACCATGCAAATGAGAGATCTTTCTGCTACTAGTGAAGGGAGTTATGAGTAGTAATGAAGGGAATTTTCGGACAAGAGGGGGGTTTGAATATCATAAACCCTAACTCCATAAATGAGAGACCATCACCATAAATAAGATCTACTGAGAGAAATCTGGATTATGGAGAGACTTAATGGAGGGAAATTGCCAATTTTTCCCTCCAAATTTTTTGTCATAACGCCATAAATGTAATCGATACTAAGCGTTCCCATCGCCAAATCGAGATTTTGTCTTTAGGTGAAGGAGGGATAATTTTAGGTGTTCCGGTTAAAATACAAATACGACATCTAGAGAAGTTAAGCCACGTAAATTTGGGTTTTAAGGGCTAATACATATGGGTCAAACTAGGAGGGGCTGGACCACATGAGTTTCTCTTATATGGGGCCTTGAGTTGTTTTGAATAGTCCCTCAAATCATTAAAATTTCTATTAAGTTCCTTGACGTTAAGTTATTTAAAACTAGTCATATATTTTGCAAAGTTCAACCAATAATTACTGCTTAACCCTTCGTTGTGTACCATTAGAGAACCATTAAAGAAAAGAAAAAGAAGACATCATGATTCTGGATAACAACAAAAAATAATTACAGATTTAGATTAATACTATACATTCTTTTTTAGTAAAAATTTCCAGCGATATTTTGGAAAACGACACCATGATTCTAAAGGAGGACGAAAAAAGACCATCACTAGTACAAAATAGGGTTGCCCCAACGGTTGTAACCATTGAGCTAAATCATGACCCCAACGGTTAGGACCGTTGGTGCTAAAAAAAGGATCGTTAGGGCAAATTGTGTTAGGGCTAAGTCAGCCCCAACGGTTGCTAAACTTGCACCAATGGTTCTAACCGTTGGGGCAAAATATTTGCCCCAACGGTTGTAACCGTTGGGGCAACTATTAGTTGCCCCAATGGTTACAAAAGTTGGGGCTGTTAGATAAATTAAAAAAAAGAAAAATCAGCCAAAAATGTTATGCACAAATACTCAGTTCTTGCCTACTTATGAAAACACTTGAATAGCTTGTTTGGCTTTGCCTACTGCTGAAAAAAAAACATATATAAGAGGTACATAATAAAATCAAGAAAGAAGAAAATCACTCAGCTCTTGCCTACTGCTGTAATTAGAAAGAAACAAGGAGAAGAAACATGACTTAATCCTTCCAGACAATACAATCAATAGCAGCTTTATATTTGGTTTTGCCTGATGTCACTTGGAAACTTGTCTTTGCTGTTTATTTTGGTACTAGAACCTTCACCGCAACTCCCAGTGCAAACATTTTAGCACCAAAGACACTCTTTACCTGTAAAGTAACATGGTAAGATCAAATTGAAAATATAAGTAGAGAAACTGATATCAACTGAAGAAGAAATTAGCTCTTAGCAAAATAACAAATTAAAAAAATATGTCCGCATGAAATCAACATGACAATCAGAAATAAATATCAAATTTAAAAGAAATCAGGGTTATCCCAATTTCAATCTAGGCATTTGACCAGAAAAAAATGCAGCAGCAGAATGTTAAATCATCCATATGCATGTTTCTCTAGCAGGACAAATAGAGACGCAAACCACATAAATCATCCATATGCATGTTTCTCTAGCAGGACAAATAGAGACGCAAACCACATGTTAAATCATTAGTATCATGGAAGGTTCATGCTTCATAAAATCAAATAGAGACGCAAACCACATGTTAAATCATTAGTATCATGGAAGGTTCATGCTTCATAAAATTATATATGAAGAGTAGCGTTATATGTAATTTATCCTTCTGAAAATGACAATACAGATGATGTAGGTGCCACTAAATTAGTTGAGGGGTGCTAGTTAAATGTTGTTAGTTGCTTTGTTGCTAGTAAAATGAGTGGTTAGATTAATTTGGTTAGCCCTAATCAAAATATACAGATCTAAGAAAATCTAGTTCTTTCATCTTCTATGCATCAATGTCAAGCCATGTAACATGTAAGTAGGATGAGGTGATACTCTAATATTCAATTTCTCGTCTTTGTTAACTGAACTATTCTAATTTGCATTAATAGAGAATTGCCATGAACAGTTTTTTTAAATTGTTAACTGAACTAATCTAAATTAAATTTAATTAAACTAGCTAGTCTAGTTATTCTTATTCTTCTGCAAATGGAACTTAGTAGAACAAAAAACTAGAAGGCCAATTTTTCACCTCAACTGTAACAGGAGCCAAACACTATACACTAAGCATTCCACTCGAAGTTATGCAGTCAACCTCACTTAAATACTCAATCTGGAGCCAAACACTATACACTAAGCATTCCACTCGAAGTTATGCAGTCAACCTCACTTAAATACTCAATCTCATTACTCCAAAAATGGCCCAACTCTTCCACTCGAAGTTATGCAGTCAACCTCACTTAAATACTCAATCTCATTACTCCAAAAATGGCCCAACTCTTAATAGTTTGTATTTCTATGCCATATATTTTTCTGTAAAAACTCAAAAAAAATTATGCCTTGGTTACAAATTGTGCGCTAAAATCCAACATAACACGAACAAACTAAGTTAACCTTATTTAACATATCTGCCAATCAAAGAAACTGTCCACCTTGACAAATTTACTTCATCAAAGCACGATGCGACACTAGCACAAAATCAATCTTAATTGTAAGAAAGGTTGAAATATTTACTTCATTAATTCAAATTCACCATCCCGAGACACAAAGCTGACTGTCTTTTCTGAGTTGAACCTCGTCAGATTTACACACTGATGAAAAGTGACACCATCAAGTTCAATGGCCTTTCCACTGGGGAAAGGGGAAAAACTGTTAGTTTACTCTAAACTGTCATGCTAAAGAAACAAAGAAGCTAGTAAATCCTGATCGAAGAGAACAAGACGTTAAGCACAATTCAATAATGTGTTGGAATTTTGCAAGAATTGGAATCATTCTAGAATTGGAATACATGTGATCTATGCAAGAAGCAGCAAGAAAAACGCCATTTGAACCTTGAGATAGAGAAGATATTATATGCAATACTTGATTGTTCTCCATGAGTATTTGTGGAACTAGACTTTCACCTCAAGTCACAAAAGGAATACTAATATTACTTTAATAAGCTTTTATATCTTGATATCATAAGCTTCAATATACTGATAGCATGCGGAGGTTGCATTTTGCATCAAAGTTTATTTCAAGCCACTACAATCATCACCCATGAGACTTATAACCTTGGCATACTATTCCATTGGTTCATCAGTAACTACTACTAATGGAAATTAATAAGCTAGTAAACCATACAATCCAAGTCAGATAGTCACATATATTTTCTTAAAAATGACAATTGCAATTTATGCAACAAGTTATAGCTATATATAGTTACCACCACAATGCATCAAGTGGACCAATTCTATTTGGCTAAAACTTCATATATAAGGGGTGAAAAGCCACCAGTTTCTTGTCACAACAATCCAGATGTGCAATTTGCTTTCCAAGAAACCTAACTTAGCAGAAAGTAATGTTTCTCTTACCATGATTAGTCAATAAATTGTTAGCCATTAATGAAAAGCAGGCTACAGACTAGGAGGCTCTTAGCAGGAGACGTCTCTCCACATTTTTGAACGCTAGCAATCGCATTGGCTATCACAAAGTACCTGCAACATTTTTGGAAAAAACTATGAGAAAGTTGAGGTCTCCATGATATGAAATTATCTAATCACTTGCGTAACAAGAGGGAAAAAATTACTTGTCTAAACTTAAAAAGATTTCTATTTAATATGCATTGCATATTACTTATAAACAAGTTAAAAATGACAAATATTAGTCTGACACCTTACTACATAAACGAACTGCAAGAGTTTGTCTTAACAATATTGATGCGTGATATTATCAATTGGTCATCAGTCAACTTAAACTAATGGTAACCTTTGATATTATACTGAATCAAGAGTTCCTCTTTCTTAAAAACTTTGCACAAGGAACTTACACAAAGGCAGGGGTCTGGTTGAACTTGGCAATGAGAGTTTGATAGAGAGGGATGGTGCCCACAATGGCGATGGCGGTGGTCTTGGTCTGCTTGTTGAGACCCATATGCGGCTATGTGCAAGACCAACCTCCCAATGCGAAAAAAATCTGCACAAATAAACTCTTGTTACATGCTTAGCTTACAAATACGACGCTTAGCTTATAAATACGACATTCAAGTTACCTACAATTACAGTCTTAAGGTATAGACAAGATTGATTGCTACAAAAGTCCAAATGGATAACAATAAAGAGTGAACATACCATTTATGCCGATCTTTATTTTCCCACCACTCGATGATCCCAAACAACAAAATAAAGTCAAATAGCAGTAAAGATCTTACGCCAAATAAGGGAAACAAATAAGGGAAAAAGGAACACATACCTTCCAATATAGAGGAGGACAAACGGTAGCAGCGGCAGAGGAGTGGCGAGCAAAGCCGGCCGAAAATCAGCTACAGGAGGAGGAGAAGGCCAAAGTGGTTATTAGGTTTTTGAGGGAAAAGGGGGGTGGGGGGATCAAGTTAGGGTTTTCACCGAAGAGGAGGAGGGAGCGACAGAGCTTCGAGCGGCGTCAACATCAATGTCCAATCGAGCGGAAGATGACTAATTAGGGTTTTTTGGCGAGAGAGCTCCAACGACGACGACTAAAGGAGGCGGCGGAGATAGAGCTCCAACAACGACGAGAGGAGGAGGGCGGCGCTGGTTTTGGTGAGAGAGAGAGGGAGGGAGGGAGGGAAGCAGAGAGGGAGAGAGATCGATCATTTTTGGGGGGAAATAAAATTTGGGGGTGGGGCGGGCTCCCTCCGATTTTTTGTGGGTAAAACTGCATCACCCCAACGGGGGAAACCGTTGGTGCTGATAAAACTAGCCCCCAACAGTTCCTATCAATCGTAGAGGCTGCCCCTATTTGTACTAGTGCATCAGAATTTAAATTAGTACTATGGTCAGTCTTTTTTTGAGTAATGTTTTAATACTTCTAATCATAGTCAAATAATCTTTACAACCAAATTTTGGAAAACGGCTGGGGTTTCAATATTTCATCTTGCAACCTTTTTTTAAATAAACTGTAGTCAAATAATGAGAGTAAATACATTACTGTTTGGATTCAATAACCATTCTGTATGCAAACTAGGACATTTTATTCGACTTATAATTCAAATCTATCTTCTTCACCGTCTGTCTTAAAATGGAGACCATGTTGATGATATTTTTCAAACAACATTTCTAAAAACCCTAACATGCTATTTTTCAAGTGAAAAGGTTAATGATTGCAACTGCAATATTCCCCGTACTTATAGTACTTAAAACAAGCATTACCGGGACCACTATAAATTAAAAGAACCATAATAAAAATGTTCATGATTTCAAATCTACTCCTCTATACAAATGGGAGAACCCAAGATTCACTATTCATGCTACAGTAAATGTAACAGAAAAACCTACCGTAGTAATTCAAAAATCCAAAACTTACTGTAGAAGTTAAACCAGAATTATTGTAACGTGAAAAAATATGACGTGGTTTGCAAGGTGTTCACACTAGTAACATTTTATTATGGACCCCCCACCTCACTTTCAAAACAAACCTTGTTCCAACTCCTGCATGAGTAATCGAGGAATTTGTGAAACAAACAAACACTGCCTATGAGTAAACTTATGTGGTAAAACAACATATAGATCACAAGAATTGAAGCTATATCTTCTCAACCGTAAAGAGCTGCATAAACCAGAAACTGAAACTAGTGTGTACAAAAATCTAGGTTTTTGACTTCTTTTTCAAAGCAAAACGAAATTCTCAAAGTCTCATCGGTCCCGTGTAGACATCCCCCGAGATTCAAACCGATCGATCTTTTTAGTATCATCAGTGGGAGAGTAAACATCCCATCTTATCAACTTCTTGATTATGTTCTAATTGATCACTTGCTTGCTCTCCGTTTTCTACATCCTCCTCCTCTTGTCTCTTCGTGATGATACATAATGCCAAATTATAATTGGGTTCTTTGTTGTTATCGACGAGTATGATCTCACCCATGACCCATTTGGTCCTTGTACCATGAGGATAGTTTCCTAGATAATACACCAGAAGTTTCCTCAGTGCAAAATAGTTTCCAGGGCATTGCATATGCTTGTCCGATCCGGTAGCTTTCCAGTATCCGGCTCCGTCGTGAGTGTGGCGTGCAGGACGAGAGCCTTTGGGGTACTTAGGTTCTCTGGTGGTGAAGAAGTACCATTTACCGTCTGCTGCCCATTTTTCATGTTTCTCTGTTGATTATCATCGTCATGAGAAAAACATGTCAGCTGAAACATAAATTTCTGGATGTTTCAGTCATTATGAAGTTCAATAGCATTACTATGATAGACCAAAAAAAAGAGGGTGTCAAATATTAGTAATCGGGTAGTTGTTACTGTCAACAAAATGTTTTGAGTGGAATCAAATATGAGATCTCTTTATGAACTTGCCTAAAACAAGCTAAAAAGAAATTGCCTTTTACATTAGTTTTAAGTCCCTAAATTGGTTGTTACGAGTTTGTCCTTTTGGTTAGTTAATAACATTAATAGAAACTTATTCCTGATTTTATCTTTATAATTTTTCTTATGCACTTGTCTATATATTCAAACCATAAATTGAACAATTCACTTGTTCAATTATGAAACATGTTGGAACGGTAGATGCCATGACGATGACATAAAAGAAAGGATAGGACTAACAATGAGTGAAGACATAATAGAATACTCTCCAACCGAAGAGGACATGCTAATTAGAATGACTAATTTGAAGTAACTTTCAGAGTTAGGTAAATTTAATTGTTCGAAGGACTTTTTCTGACAAAATATTATCTGTCACGTATACAAATGATACCCAAAAAAAAAAAAGACAAAGTATCACATATTCACATGAAGTCAAGTATATATACTTACGGACTAGTATCTCTGGGCGCGTTTCATACACAATGGCATCCCTTACGCCATCATAAGGAACTAAGTTGCGGAGCTTTCTGCTCAGGAGGTATCTGAAAGCGAGTTCCTCATCTGTAGGTGCAAAATGAAATCCTGAAGGTGGCTTCAATGGTTCTGTTCTCCTCTCTAACCTTCGCAAATCCTGTATATTGCACCCAACTGGTAGTTCTGCATTATTGGCAATAGAAAGAACATTAATTATTACATTTCTTTTCTTTATGTTTGACGCACAATTGTTCCTGACATGGAATATGAGCCAAGTTTTTGATAGAAATGGCTGACAGCTAGCAATAAAAGGTGTAATGTTTGAATTATATAAAGATACATATGGAAGGATTTATATTTATATGATCACCACGGTACCCATGAATCTCAGCACAAAGAAAATCACACACATTAAATAAAAAATCAGAAACCAAAAATAGAAATTAGAGAATATGTACATGTGGAATTAAGTTTCAAACATCATATTGACACACTAAAAAGAGAAAACGTAATTATTTCAATATTATATTACCTTCAAACTGCTTTTGCTTTTTAAAAAATAATTACACTTCTTGCAGAACTCTGGTACATCTCTTACGCAGATTACTGATATACAAGAATTGCTTTGAGCACCTCAGCATGCTTTTCTTTAAGTTGTACGCATACGCTCAGACACTTATATATTTAACTATGCAATTTTTGAAAAAACAATTTGAATACGGAGATTTTCTTTTTCACAGACAACTATAGCAGTTGTAAGAATTTGAATGGTAAAAATACAACCATAAACACACTCTTGCGTGCACTACATCTATTTCTCAATTTCTGTATATATGACTCTTCTCTTTATATCCCAAACTCTTCATTTGATTTTTTTTTTCTCAATATTTTTTGATCTCAAATTACTGATAGAAGAACTTAAATCAAACCAATACTCAACGTGGCGGATAAAGAAACAAGGAGAAAAAAAAGCTACTGGAGTATAAAGACAAGCAGACAACCTCATCAACACAAAGAAGAAAACAACGAAATAACCATCTAGTCCATTGACGAAGCTAGATTTAAAACCAAAATTGCTTACATATTCCGTGAAGAAAAAAAAACAAACTACCAGAAACATCACGTAGTGAAAACTCAAAGAAAGACACAGTAAAAAGAAGTAATTCTTTTGAGGTAAAGCAATTCATGACATGTAGATATTTGGTCATCATTACCAATTGGATGGGTGCACCACTTGGGTCCTTTCATGTCCAATATTTCTTCAAACATCATTGGTGCCTTCCCCTTTCTCTTTGATTCGTTCATTGCTTCAAAACAATTTCTTTGCTATTATCCTTTCTAATGAATAGCAATTAATTCGCTATTATTGAATAAAGTTAAACGATAGAAATTATATGATTTTGCTCCTGAAAGTCCTCACCTGGAAGCATACTGTTGTATTTATATAGAGATGAAGGTTTAAAAGTGTAATAGATTTTATCTGTTACTTAATTAGAGATGTGTAGGACTCCGGATGGCATGAGGAAACGTTGAGTTCATATCTTTTAAAGGTCTTGGGGATAATTAAACAACATCCTTTTTTATTATTCTCAAAATTTAAGGAAAAAGATATCCATCCAGAAGTTTAGGTTTTAGAAGTTGGATATAGGTGTATTCTATGAGCATTAGAATTTGTACACGGTTATATCTCAGGAGTTTAAGAGAAATAGAGTTGTATTTGGGTGTAAACACTTTCTGAAACCTATTTTTAGTAAGTTTATCTTTAGCTATTAGATGGATAAAGTATGGGCCCGGATTGGATAAAATTAGTCCAACCGTTAACTAATTTTATTCAGGTAGGTAATTTAGAACTTAGATTTGTTAGAGTTTTACGCACATTCTACAAAGAACAAGTTCATATTTGCCAAAAGGATAGATATTCAGTTATTATCGAAAAATATTCAATAATAAATGAAATGCAGAACAATTAGTAAGTCATAAGTTTATTAAACCAGCAAAGAACCCAAATTAGAACTACACCTTGTAATATTCTTCGCCGTGATTAAAATCCCAGTCAACTGCTGAAAGATCATAGCCTCCCCAAGAATTTTGGGGTATCTCACATAACCAAACTCTCAATTTTTCCCAATGCCCGGACCCTCTAACGGCCTTAATGACCATTATAAAAACAAAAGAAGGCTTTTCAGAAAACACAAGATTTTCATTGATTTAAACGAATTACATCATTATGAAAAAAAATCCACCACAGTAGGCAAAACTTCTGCAACCATATAGATGGTTCCTCAAGGTGAGTGGCGGGTTTAGCTAAAGCATGAGCAACTTTGTTGTCATCTCGACGAATATGAGCTAAAGAAAGGGAATATAATCTGCTAAAAAGCTCTAAAATATCATCCACTAATAACACCATTTCGCCATCAATGTCATTAGATTTTAGGAGGTCAATGAGTTAAATAGAATTAAACTCGATTTCTAATAGAGTGAAACATTGAAACCTGCTTGCAAGGCTATATCCGAACTCCGTCTCATACTACATTAACTCAAATTTAATTTATTCATCTATAATTAATTTTATTCTTTATTTTATACTACCATTGCAATGGAGCAGCCAGGTGGCAACCACTCAGCTCCGATATATTCCACCTAAACAAAATACTACGAAAGAAAAAGTGGGGAAAAATGAAAATCTGTTAGCAACCCTACGAATAAAAAAAGAGGAATAAAAACTAAATTCAGTTAAAAAAATCATCCGAAGGAAAATAAGAGATATAAAAAAACGAAATCTGTTAACAACCATCCGAAACAGAAAAAAAACAGATTCTTTTAAAAAAATCATCTGAATGAAAAAAAGGGTAAAATAAAAAACTTTCTGTTAATTTTCTCACAAAAAAAAAGCCTTCTGTTAAAGATTTACATTGAGAGAAGAGATTAATCTTTTTTGCTATAATTTATCTCTCACCTACTTTAAGAGACGGGGATGACAGTTAATTTAGAAAAGATGAGTTTTGAAAGACATGGAACACTAAAAAAGATAGAATTCTACAACTAATCTAAGTTTAAAATTTATCTTTTTAAAATACCTGGTACATTTTCTACCAAATTAAAAATTTTAATCTTTTTCTCCATATCCTAACTCGCCAACTAACTCCGAATATTTCAAATTGTCGTTAATATTCGAGAGGCTAAAATAGAAACTCATGTAAAAAAAAGAAATACAGGAAAATAACTGATTTCTGTAAAGATTCCACTGTTGAAAAATATATTTTTTTCCTAAAATATGTGTTTATCTTATCTATCCCACCTAAAAAAACCCCATGGAGAAAAGAAATAGGAAAATACGATTTGGAAAACTGAATTAAATTTACCATTCGGTAAAAACAAAACCCCACAAAACAGAAAGAAAGTAAAAAAACAGAGGAAATGGAAACTTAAAATATGGGGTTTCCATAAAATATGAAAATAAATGATTTTTGTTGTCAATTAGATATTACTAGGGAATTTCTTTAGGGGTTGTTTAGTTGGCTAAAAAAAAGGAAATCAATTATAAAAAACCTAAGTCCTATAAGTTCTTTTTATGTGTTTGGCTCACTTCTTAAAACTAAGAAAATAAATGAGATGAGATAAGTTGTATATTATTGGATGATGTGACTCATTTTTGAGGAAATCTATTTTATGATTTTTTTAGGAAAATGGATAAAAAATAACTGTTAATAGTTTCCTTATCCTATTTCCTTTTCTTTGATTTTAGGAATCAACCAAAAAGGCCCTTAATCATTTTCTTCATATTCGATCTCTGCTTATTGTTGAGATTCTTCCAAACCAATTAGATATCATATTTAGTTCTCTCTAATTATTTGTTTTTCAAATATTATAAATTCTAATTTATCTTGTATAAACAACCCACTCAACTCTCCTCTATCCTTATTCCCCTTCAATTTTCAATTTTTTTCTTTCTATCAAGCTATCCAAGTGGGATGTCAGTCTATGTTGAGCTTGTCATTTTCTTTTCTTTTCTGTGTTTATGAGTTCTATTTAACAATTGGTTTGCTTTAAAACTTTGACCAAATCACCAATTAAGTTCTCATAGAGAGAAAATAGGGAGGAGAAAATCTCAGGAGAAGGGAGAAGAACCCATGTGACGATATTTTGCTCTGCTATCTTGATCTACTAAGGATAGAGAGGGGGAACATGCGATTCGTCAGGCGATTTGACATGCGTCATGGAGCGAAACCCATCCACGCGGCGCTTACGGTTCCAATGCAGCGTCTTGTTTCCTTCACCAATGGTAAAATCACCGTTTCTCCTCCTTTTGTCTCTCCACCTCCCTCCTTCCCTATTATCAAACCATCTTCAGACTTTCCCCCTCTTTCTAATCCTCAAAACCCTTATCCGTCCTTTTCGTTTCAACCAACTTCTCACCATCTCCCCACTAAAAAACCCTCCTTTGCCGACTTGCTCAAGAGATTTAAGCCTTTGCGTGCCTCCTCCTCTAAAGGCATTCTTCCTCTCCCTGAAGAAGGGTGGACCAAAGTCTCCTACAAGAGAAGACCTAAAAGGTCGAGATCTGCTAGCTCTTCCCTCCTCAACATCCCCATTCAAAAACCTATTAGGTTTTTTTTTTGTCAGAATAGGGGCCACATGGCGAAAAACTGTTCTTTAGGGAATTTCAAGTGCTTTGCTTGCAACTTAGTAGGGCAAACTTTATTGTGTTGTCCTAACCGCAATCAGCCACTTGCTCATAGCATCATCCCCCCCCCTCTTCTAAAGCTCCTTCCTTCCGCCACCCTCCTCTTTTTATCCCTAATGTCCCTCTTCCCGAGTTTGTAGTCAGCAGCATGGATGAATTCATCTTATATGCCTTCTTTCAGATCCAAGTTGGTAATCCCTCCTATGAGGAGCTTATTGAGAACCTCAAGTTCCACTTAAAAGTAGATAAATGGTCTACTGTTGTTAGAAAGTTATCCCCTTCCTCCTATTTCATCCAGTTCCTAGATGTAGAAACCATGGATTATGCATGCTCTATATCCTTCTTCAGCATGGGGAGCTTCGGAGGAGTCTTTTCCCCCTGGTCGGAGAAGTTAGGTCTTAAAGCTTTGCCTAAATTTGTCTATGTTTGGGTTGAAATCCTTAATCTTCTCATCCATCTTTGGGATTCTGAGTTTTTATCGACTTTACTGGGAGATGTTGGATAGGTTATCTCTGTGTCTAATGACATTATGTTTAAGAGAGAGGCCAAAGATTGCAAAGTGATGCTTTTTGTCAGTGATCCTTCAGAAATCCCCCAAGAAGTCATGTTTAGATATGCATCTCCTAATAAAATTCATATCATGGAAGGGTCTGTCCGTCTGAGGGTGATTGGCGAACCCCTTTCTTCGACCCTGGGAAGTTGTCGGGATAAGTATGAATCTTTTATCCGCAACGAGGGTGCTCTGCCTGATTCTTTAGAGGATCATCCTCTAGTTTATCCTCTTATCCAGCCTCTTTCAGGTTCACCTATCAAGTGCGAGCTTAAGTAGCCAAGGTAGTGCTTGCTCTCAAGCTCCCTCCGAATATCCAAATGCGTAAGAGACTCTTGCGTTGTAGAGGGTACCCCCCCCTTCAGCCCTCCTCCCCCTCTTTTTGCCAGAGAAAGCATCAGTGATGGTGGGAAGTTCTTTTTAAAGGTGTTAAGATCATGATTATTTAAGTCTTCCTGGATTTGTTGAAGCCAGTTCTCTCTCAGTCAGACGATGCTAAGTCAAGTTCGTTCCCCATTGTTGGTGAACATGCAAATATCATCTCCTCTTCAGACTCATATGGACATCGCTTCATCCTCTGACCCCCCCCCCCCCACCTCGGGTTTTAAGTTTAACAAAATCACTCTAAGGCTTCCAAGAGGAAATCCTCCCGGGGATTTTTTCTGATTCATCCAGTTAAGAAGCACCTGGTTCTGATGAAAAGGAGCAAACACCCAGATAAATCTAAAAGTAAATCAGCATCTTTTGCCTCTACCCTACCTCTTCAATCCCTAAACCTTGAGTATTTGGGCGAAATTTTAGTCAATTGTGGTGTAAGAGAACCAGTCGATCCTCAGGGGTTGAGAGATATTCAAAATCTAGAGTGTATAGGGATCAACCCTTCCTGAAGCTAGGTTGTTCCTCTAAGTCATCTTCCCCTCTTTCATTATGAATTTTAGATCTTGGAACGTCAGGGGGGTTAATAACCCTGCCAAGCGTAGATTGGTAACGGACTGTCTGAAGTTAGCTAAAGTTGATCTTGTTGGTTTGCAAGAGACCAAACTCAATTCCATTAGACCCACCACTCTCAAGTCCTTAAGGAGTGGCACCATCTCTTCCTGGATTTCTTTAGATGCTTCCGAGTCAAGGGGGAGTTCTTCTTGGTTAGAATGAAAACATTTT